AGACCCAGCGTTGGAACACTGCAGCTTTATTGATTGAAACAACCGCGTCCGCAACTAGAGGTTACATTGGGGGGCTCGGGGATCAAAGAGGGGCAAATGGAGAACAGAGGCTGGGGTGGAGACGGAGAGCAAGGCAAAGGGGTGAGGACGGGGTCGTGTGACTAAAAAAACAACCCCAATACATTTCACCCGTGGATAAGGGGTCTCCTGTTGTGCTTTTACGTTGGTGTGAGGGTGGGCTTGGGTCAGACGCTTGGGCCTGGGCATGAGGGGTTTTGGCTTTTCTCCCAAGTCTTTGAGGCCTCAAGGTTGGAGCAGTCTCTTCCTTCCTTGTCCCTTCCGGAATGGGGATAAGGGCCTTGGTGAGCTGGCCATCCTGGGACAGGTAGGATGCTTGGAGACCACTGGAGCAGAGGGGCCGGCAGAGTTGGGCTGAGATGGGGATTATGTGGGCAGCTGGGAGGAGGGAGGGGAGGTGGAGGGAGGGGAGGTGGAGGGAGGGGAGGTGGAGGGAGGGGGTCTTTCCCCGTGGGCCCTGGGAAGTTAACACAGGCATCCTGGGGGAAGGGGTGGGCACAGGCAAATGCCATCCCTCTGGATCTCGGCGTCTCACCTGTACAGTGGGGATACTGGATCACTAAGGTCTCTCCCAGTTCTAAGGGTCAGGAGTACCCCAGGAAAGAGTGGTCCCGCCCCAACACACACACATACACACACACATGCACGCACACACATACAGACAATAGAGGAGAGGGGCTTCCCTGGAAGCAGGGAGGGCTCCCCTGAACCCAGAACCAGTGTTCCTACAGGGACTGTCCACAGCAGGTCCACCCTCAGGTTCCTGGAACAGACCCTGAAACACCCTCCCCTCCAGCCTCCTTGAGCTGTCCAGGGAGAGGAAACCCCAGAATCCTGCCCTCCAGATCCTTAGGGGGAAGTCGAGAGGATGAGGACATGAGAACATGCTGACCTTTGTCCTAGCCCAGGCTCTGGTGAAGACAAAGGGAGGGAAGGGGAAACAGAGACTCTTCTATTGGGGAGCCTGGAGGAGGCCAGCAGCAATGACCTCTGTGGGCAAAGGATGCCAGCCTCCCCCAGGCACCAGGCCTTCCATGATGCGGGAGGGGGAGGGGCTATAGCCAGAGCAGGAGTCCAGCAACTCTGTAACAGGGCTAGGGACATCTGTGGCACTCTAGAGACAGGGCCATTTGTCCCAGCTCCCCAGAGCTATCCGGACAGGAAGTCCCAGCAGCAGCAATGCCCAGATGGTGACACCCAGGACTTAGTGCCTGATTTCCAAGGCTGGCTCTACCCAGACTGGCTGTGTGACCTTAGGCCCCTCTCTGGGCTTAGCTTCTTCATTTGTGCCCTGAGGGGCTTGGACTTCGGAGGCCCGTCTGGCTCTGTGGCCTGAGCGGTGGCTTTCAGAGCACAGGGGAAAGAGAATGAATGGGAAAGTGGTGCCAGACCCGTCCCAGAGGACAAAGGGGACAGGAGCGTTCCCGGAGCAGGCTGGGTGCGCTAAGCAGCACCCCAGGAGCTGTCTGTGGTCCCAGCAGCGGGACAGCCAGGCAAGACTCTCCATCCACTGTCCCTCAGCATCTTGTCCTGGGAGTCCCTTTCTCCTCTAGACACCAACCTGGAGGGGAGAGGGGAGGAAGTCCCAACACCCTGAGGGTTGACTCTGGAGTCCCCACTTTAAGGCCACAATATGCCTCAGTCACCCTGACCCAGAGGGCGAGGCTGCCCCTGGGGAGAGGCACTGGACCCAGCCAGCCTGGTCTCCCCAGGGCCCGGGGTATTCCTGGGCCACCTACCATGACACGGACACAGAGATTCACAAAGACACACAGCATAAGTGACATTTATACAGATCCACTTCACACAGACACACAAACATTGACACACAAGTCACCCAGAGATACACCCAGAGACACACAAAAACACTCATTCTTTGCAGATTCACCAGCACACACAGACTGGCCCGCTCCTGGACTCGGGCATGGCGAGCACACACCACCACCCACTGCCCGCACCTGCTGGCCCGTGCACACAGACACACGTCAGCCTCACCCGCTCACCCAAGGACCTGGGTGCCTCAGCAGATGGGCTGGGTAACCCCAGGTGGGGCACCCTCCAAGCAGGGCTGCCCCACCTTCTTAGAAGGTCTCCTCTCTCCAAACAGACCAGGACAGTGGCGACACACAGCCAAAGCCTGCCAGCAGCTTCTCTGTATCGGGCTCTATGGATACAGAGGTCCCCGTCATGGAGCAGCCAGGGCAGGGAACAAGGCTGAGGGGGACAGGTCTGGGGCTCTCGGAGATTCCAGGAGGAAACTCTTGGGGCTCCAGCATGGACCCCAGCAAGGGCACCGAGGAAGCCTCTGGAAGGTGAGAGGCCCTCAGTTCCCTCCCTTGGGTTCTGGTGCCAGGTGCCCTCCAGCTCCATTAAATCAGAACCTCTGAGTGGGGACCTAGCACCAGAGCTTTTGAAAAGACCCTCTGGTGGTTACGCTGCAGCCAGGGCTGGCGCCAGGGTTGGTGGACTCCATTGCGCCAGGCAGAGCCTGTGGAAGTGCTTCCCATCCCTGGCTGGCTTGTGCCAGGCAGGAGCAGGGGCGGGGAGAGGGGTCAGGAGGCTCAGAGGAGGAGCTCACAGTCTAGTCGGGGCGACAGATTCTGCACAGATGGGACAATTAAGGAACAATACCCGGCAGACGTGATGGAAGCGTGTGCTGGGAACCTGGAACGGCTCACTTCAGACGGAGGCCTTGGGCGGGCGAGGAAGGCAGCCGCGCTGGTCGGCATCAGGAGGCCCCGCTGCAGCCTGGCCGGGCCACCCACCAGCTGTTGGTGATGATGATAACAGAGGCCTGACAGAGCCGGAGCCCAGCAGCATTGGCCGTGGTCCCCGCCTGCTCCTGGCACGGCAGTGCTGCCCAGTATCCAGGCTCTCTCTTTGCAGCTGTCCCCACCAAATGCTCCAGGAGCAGCTCATGACACCCTCCCCGAAGGTGCTCGCATTCACTAGGGTCACCTGGGAAGCTCCATCATCCATAGGAGGGAAAGGTGGGGTTCGGGGCTCTGGTAACAGCCGCTCTAGACTACCCATAGGACTGGAAGCAGGGGACATGACATACATGTCACCGGGATGACGTGCACGGGCACTCAGAGACAGGCCAGAACCCGCCTGGAAAACCGCACACACACACTCCTTCTGCATATACTCCTGCCCAGACATGTGCCCACAATGGTGTGGGCGTGTGCGCACACACATACACACACACACACACATGCGCACACACACAAGCACGGACACACACGACTCATCCTGGAAGGGGCTGGGGCTCCTCTCTCCCGTGGAGGGCTAAGTGGGCAGCTCAGGGTGGTGTTGGGGAGGAGAGATCTAGAAACTCTTCTGTCCATCTCAAGCTCCAATCCAGGACCTAGGGACAGGAATTCCTTTCACAGCTCCCAGGGGACAAAGGGACTGGAATTACCCCACCCGTCTCACCCCCACCCCTACAAACTTATCGTCCTTGGCCGACCCTGTGGGGAGGGGGGCATGGCCCACTGGACAGGGCTCTGTAGGGCTCTGCCCTTCATGCCCGCCCCTGGCCGCAGCACCCTATCGGACCAAACACATCAGAGACGAGGCTCTGCTCCCACTTTCGGTGGCCTCGACGGGGCCATGGAACCACCAAGGCAGGCTTCTCCTCTGCCGCGCCCCCGTCTGAGTCCCAGCTGGGGCTGAGGTTAGGTGGGGACTGTGCTCTCAGGAGTCCAGTTGCTGGTGGGGGTGGGGGTGGGGGTGGGGTGGGGAAGGTGTCAGTCTCCACACTGTGCAGGCCCAAGACCCCCTGCTGGGTCCCTTCCATGGGGGCACAGTGAGGAGGGGATATGACGTCCCAGAAACAGGTCAGGACCTGGGGTGACTGACTGGGGTCTCCCCCTTCCAGCCCCGACTCTGAGAACAGTTGCGGGCAGCAGGTGCCCCACCTTCTCTGTCTTCTTCTGGGCCAAGGATAGTCACGAAGCTCACCAAGTCCCACCTGGCCCTCCTCTGACCCCTGCCTCCTCCGTCCTGAGGAGTCCCAGAGTCTGGCCAAGGGCAGGGCTCCCTGTCCGCCCACTCTTCTGGCAAAGCCACCAGGCTGGAGTCCGGCCTTGAGTTGGGGGACAGCAGGGAGGGTCAGAAACACACCACAAGTGTAGCCAGGACAAGGCCAGCGTCGCGCCGCGGTCCCTGGGGTGGCGGACGCCATTTGGGCAAGTCCCCTGTCTCCGCATAGAGAAGGTGCTGGCAGGTCTGATAGAAACTTGTGCTTTAATAGATCTCTGTGTGTGAGTGTGAACGTGTGAGTGTGTGCGTGTGTCGAACAGCGTCTCCAGGGCCTCAGCGCCGGGCCTCAGGTCCTTGTTTTCTGTTCGTCCTCGCAGCCAACGCAGGCCCCCTCCCTGGCGAGCCGGCCCTTCCCCTGGGCACCCCGGCGGGCGGGGGTCAGTCTTTGGTACGATGTGGACACTTTGGTGTGCCGGGGGCGGGGTGGGGGCCACGCAGCTCTCATCATCTCTGCATCGCCAACAGGAAGAGGACCACGGGCCCCCAGAGCTGTGGGCTGGACCCGTGGGGAGCTCTGCTGCCCGGCATCACCACCACTGTGACAGGAGACAGAGGAGACAGGCCAGGAGCTCCGGTCAGCTCCGGCAAGGGCAGGAGAGGCAGACAGGCTGCTGAGGGAGGGCGCCACAGCCCTGCCCCGTCTCTTTGGAGGGCCTGAGGGTGGACACTCAATGCCAATGTGGGTTGGCATGGCTCAAGGGTGCACGGCCTGTGGGCTCATGCTCACTAAGACACAGAGCAATTTACCACACCTCAGTGGGCCTCAGTTTCCTTATCTGTAAAGCGGGCCTCCAAGTCCAAGTGTGGCTGTGAGGTTTCAGTGGAACATGCACATACGGGTTTCTGTACCTCGCCTGGTACATAGCAATCCCTCAATCAACCGGAACTGTTAGAATTGGCAACACCTGGCCCCAAAAAGGAACAGGTCACACCTGGAGCCACAGTACTCAGACCCAGGCACTGGAGGTATCTGATACAGTAAGGAATTCAGTAAGTTCCAAGGAGGGCAGGACCCAGGGCTTCCTGGCCAAGTCAAGGGGGGCCAAGATGGGTGCACCTGCACACCGGCACACTGAACTCTTTTCAAACCAACACCCTCCCCCAGCAGACAGATGCCCCCCAACGGCACCCACAGCCTCAGCTCCCCTGCCCCCTTCCCATCGTGCACCTTTATTGGGATCCATCTGCTTCCGGGGACACTCTCCTTTCTTCAGTGTGACGTCATCTATGGCAATATCCCCCAGGTAGCCGGAGCCTCGAACCCCCTCAAAAATAATCTGGGGGATCAGAGAGCAGGGGACAGGAGATGGGGATCTGCCAGGCCCCAGGGACCCCCGCCCCAACCCCTTCCCCTCAAGGGGAGCCCCGCAGCCTGCCTGCTTTCCTCCTTGGAGCCCCGGGAGCGAGCACCAGGACAACCCCAGTGCTTCCTGTCCAGGCGACCCCAAGCCTGGGAGAGCCTCTGGGCCCCATGGACTCACCTGGAAGGGCCCACTGGGGTTGATGGGCACATGTGCCTGCTGCCACACGTTGCCCTTATTGCCACTGAGGGACCAGGCGTGTGTGTCCAGAGCCCCTTTGTTCCGGGACCGCACAAGGAGGTTGAGGGAGCCTGTGGCGGGTGAGAAGAGAGGGGGTCACTGCCTGCACTCGCCAAGCCACCCACACGGCTGCCCCTGAGAGATGGGACCTTCTCCCTGTCCCCACACCTGGTGCAACTTGTCATTGCCATGGTGAGCAGGGGACCACAGCCAGAAGGAGAGGACGGTGGCAGTTCCGATCTTTCCTTCCCTGTCAATCAACCAACCTGACCACACACACCACCTGTCCCCTCTAGACAGGAGCCGTCCCAGGCAGCGGGACCTCTATCTTAGCACAAAGCAGACCTTCCCAACAGCACGGTTGCACACCACGGCCGGACGCGATTCTGAACGTGGAGCTGGGGACTTAAACTTTTTAATATTTATTTTAAAATACTTGTAAATGGTGGATAAAGGTGGCCCTTCCTAACCATGACTTCTCTGATGCTGACGCCTGCTTGGAACAAAGGTTTAAAAATATTAGGTCCCATGCTTCATAGTGATGACTGAGAGCGAGATCTCGGGGGCATTAGCCGGGAGGCGCTGAGCCATCTGCCCACAGACTCAGGGATCTGCAATCCCAGGGGTGCTGAGGGGCACTAGAGAGAAGGAGGGGTCACGGCTGGGCTCAGAGCACTCAGGCAGTGTCAATGTCCTCTCCCGTCTCTTTGTAGCCCACCTCGAGCCCCCAGTGACATGAGAGACCTGGCTCCGAGGGAAGAGGAATCAATCTTAGATGGCGCCTGGTGGCTGGCATTTCCATGGCACTACCCACAGACAAAGCCACACCATCTGTGACACCAGATAGACCTACCCCCCAGTGGGGGGAGCCACCAAATGTTACCTGCCTGGATTGAAAAGAGTTGGCTGGGACCAAGGAGTGTCGGCGAGACGCAAGGTCTGGGGACAGCTGGTGCCCAGAGCTGCCA